TGTAAAATTTATTATGCAGAGTGATTCAAGACCTCACGTTGCAACACGGGAGGAGAAGACATGTATGGCATGTACAATGTGCAGGGCCCGACATCCAGTTCAAGAAACGCTCGACATTTCCAACACCCTCAATGACAAAAGACAATCGCTGCTCAGAAGACAGGCAGAATAAAAAGGGACCACCTCCATCTAACGACTTTACAAGCTGGCAGAACCCTAGAATCGCGATTATAAGAAAAGAAAAAAAAGGCAAGTTCCAGACGTGTCGAAATTGCGCATCTCCGAGCAAGCAGCGACCGTTTGCTCACAAAAGTGTGGTTAAGTTACCGTTTGGAGACAGATTTTAAAAACAACTAGAGAGTTGTTTCAAGAGAACGCAATTCCGTCTGCTTCTATCCACTTCGTTATTAAAGCGGAGCTCCCTCCTCATAGGCGCCTATGAGGAACCGATCCAATCATGTCCCGTGTGGACATCCCTTCAAGCCTCACAAATTTTGGCGGCTTCTACCTTTCATTCGATTGTACTGGTAGTTTTGAGAGGCTTGGTTCTACAATGCATACATTTAGGGAGAGAACAGAAACAGATGGACAAGACATAACTCTCCCTCTTGTTACGGGACTTACACCTGTCCATCCGTTTCCGTTCTCTCCCCAAATGTACGCTACAGACTCGGTCGGTAAAAATACCCAACGAACAGTACTCATAGTAAAAAATAGAAGACCCAAGTCACGATGAGGGAAACAAATGACCAACCCCGGCGAAACCTCGTCCCCATCTCGTTCCTTTATTCCGCCTTGGCCTCGGGCGCCGCATCCTGCGACCCTTCTGCGGCCGCCTCCGGCTCCTCCACAACCGCCACGCGCTCTTTCTTGGACCTCTTGTGCTTGTGCTTGGACGAGCGCCTCTCCTCTTCCTCGTCCTCGTCCCGGTGGTGCCTCCGGCGCGACGACCGGTGCCGCTCTTCCTTGTCCCCGCGGTGCTCCCTGTGCCGCCGTTCGTGGCGCTCCCGCTCTTCGTACTCCTCGTCCCGTTCCCCGCGCTCCCCGCTCCCTCCCGCGCTCCCGCAGTTCCCGGGGCTCCCGGGGCTCCCGCGGTTCCCGCGGCTCTCGTGGCTCCCGTTCTCTACCCTCCCTACCCTCCCGCTCGCGGTAGTAGTCGCGATACCGTCGGCTCGACCGGGGCGGCGGCATCGCGTCCTCCTCGTCGTAATCCGGGGGCGGGGCGCGTCTCGACGAGCGTTCCCGCTCCCGGCCCTCGCGGTCCCGTCCCTCTCGCTCTCGGCCCTCGCGCTCGCGGTCCCGCTCGCGCGGCCACGAGCCGCCGCCGCCGTCGTCCCCGTACGGCTGGCCGTAGCCCGACCCGTTGTAGAAGGACGACCGGTCGTCGTAGGAGCGGTCGCCCCCAGCCCCCGGGATCGGGGGAGGGGGGTGGGTGAAGCGAGGGGGCGGGAACGACCCCGTGTCGTAGCCCGGAGGCGGGACCCCCGGGATCATGCCCGGGATTGGGGGCGGGATGGACATGTTGCTGGCATCCAGCGGCACCCCCATGTAGCCCGGCGGGGGCACGTGTGTCGGGGGCAGGCTCAGGCCCCCCATGGAGCCGGAGTCGACCGATCCGATGACCTGCGGGGGTGGTCGAGGAGATGCAAGTCAGGGCATGCTACCATGGCTGCTGGGTCATGTCAGAGTCGCTGAATATACTTCCAATGTACCGTAATCGCTGGCATAATAAGGCTGTCTGATTGATAGGGTTCCCACGTACAAGCATTTGAATGGTGGTGGCGAAGTGATTGCACAATGCGCTGCTAACATGGCATACCGCCAGTGGCATAGCCAGAAATTCTATTTCGGGGGGAGGGGGGCAGGAATGGGGTGGCAGGGATTACTATGACTTCAGAGGGAAAGGATGTAATACATAGGTATTTTATATTCCTGGTTGCATTTTGAGTGGCGGGGTGGTTTATGCAATGACTTCAGAAGCGGTGGGGTACTTTATGCCTAGTGACGTCGCCCCCTCCAGGTTACGTCACTGCATCCCGCTCCATGCTGACGAGCAGATTGTCGAAATTTGGCTGTTTGAAGAGAAAATAATTTCAAGCAGCAGGCACACTATTTTTACTGTATGCAGAAGCATACAGTAAGCATGCATGCAGAAGCCGCGTCCAAGGGGTTCGTTTTAATGCTTACTGAAGTAGAGAGTTGGTACTCGTTACTGTACAGGAGCTTGAAGTTACCTGGCTACCTGGTGAATATTCAGTGACTTCAGGAGAAATGCCATAGCCCACAAGCACATATAATGTATGGGTAGCAGGGTATAAAGGTCACTGCTTTGAAAATTAGCAGGCATCGTAAAAGAAGGCAGAACACAAAAGGAGGACAGCAACAAACTCGGAGACAAACAAAAGGGATGTGCAACACAAAAGAACTCTATGACTGGAAGCAGAAAAATACTATACGGTGAGCAAGTGCACCAGAACATGTCTTTTGCACGTCAGAATGTAAGGAAAGACACACCAATCAAAGGTCAGCATAGACAATGTGCAACGACGAGGCAGCCAAGCGCGCACCTCATAGGCTGAGGTCACGGGGAAACGTAAGGATCTGGACGTGTTTGGCAGGTAAAAAAGGAATGTGGTGCGCAAAGAGCAGACAAATTTGAACACCGTATAGCATAGACTGGCTTAAGCAAAATGAAAGATATCCGACAATCTCACAAAACTCGACAGAGATTTAGTTAAAAATAGTGAAACTACAACCCTTTCCTAAATCTCCAATTTGTAGGCACTCGCCTCTGCTTTTTAGTAACTCACCGCAGCAAAGGACATAGGTTGCTTTGGAAAAACAAGGGATTATTTGCGAAAGATCTGTAACTTCCAAAGTAGAAACGAAAAAAAAGTAGAGATAGTGGTAAAATGAGAGGATCCTTCACAGCAGGACTCCAAAAACACAATGAAGCAAACCCATATAAATGGAACTCTCGTGACAATGTCAATGTCCTAAATTTGTGCTTACGCCTTAATGTTAAAAATGTCTTTATTACCAGAAAGGTACAGCACAAGGTACAGCACAATGCCGCAAAAGTTGAACGCAGATATAGGAAAGAAATGGATTTGGTGTTCTGTGAAAACAGTAAAGGTTGAGACCACGGCCAGAGAGACAGATAAAAGGGAACTTCACACTGGAAAAAGTGCAGATACCTTCACTGATAGAACAGCCCACTGTGGGGTATGTTAGCAAGAAAGCAGAGGACAGAGAATAGTTTAAAATAAGACTTTGATGTGACAAAATAGTGAGGGTGCAGATAGGCAGAAAACCCAGGAACCTTAAGATGAAGACCTCCAATCCCCCACCACAAACCAGCTCATTTGCACGCTTCCTTTACACAGACAGATTAGTAAAAGCGAAGAAAAGAGAAGTAGGAAAACTAGCATATCTTACCAGACGAGGAGAAGCAGGCAGGCTGTACTCTGCATTGACTTTTCTGCACAAGGTCGTAGAGGCTAGCGAAATATACGCAGCCTCGCCACCCACACGGTTGACAGGAGATGGGATGGGATGGGATGGGGGGGGAGGGGGGTCTACTTTTCCCTCTTTCAACCCAGCATTGGTGACAACGCTAACAAACACCTCCCAAGAACTTAAGCCCCCCCCCCCCCCCCAAATGCTGACGTAGAAGTCGGCACTATGGCCTCCTAGATGACCTTGCCATCTAGGAGGCCTTGCACCCAAACAAGTCTAAAAGAAGGAAAACTTAGATGCCCCTGTGTCCTCCCTTTCTCTCCATATTTATTTATGTTTTCTTGAAGCAATCGTGGACACTACATTATTTTCCATTTCACTTTACAACCGCCCACGGCATATGCTACGGGCCATCCCACCCAATCCAGCGGCACAAATGTATAACGTGACGAAGCGCCCTGCGCGTCACTGCGTTCCCTCCCGAAGGTCAGGGCAGCGTCACGTGGCACTGGATTGGATTCGGTCGGCTCCTAGGGTCCTTTGCAATGCATCGCAAGGTGAAACGGAGTATTGTCTCGTCAATGTTGTGCGGAAAAGTTGATGCAGAGTATGGCCGTCAGTGGCAGAGAGAAGAGAAAGAGGCGATGCAGAAATGAGGAGGTAAGCTGCGGCAAGCGGAGAGGAAGAGAAGGCGGGGGACGGGTGGTGGCCGCACCTGAATAACCCCTTCTTTGCCTCCCCCGGGTCTCCGGCTGGGCAGGGAGGGGGCCCCGCCCCCGATGACGTCGATGCTGCCCGACATCTTGCGGCCGGGGGGCGGCCCCGCCTTCTTGGAGCCCAGCACGGGCACGCTGGCCATGCCCGTGTACTTGCTGTTCTCGTTTACGGGAGGGATGGGCATCAGCAGGGGATCCTTGCCCACCAGGTGCAGGGCAGACTGCGCCAGAGAGGGACACCCACGCTCGCCACCCGCCCCTTTGGAAGACTCCGCCGGTCGGCCATGCGACAGACACCCAAGCGCTCCAGGGACTGCTCATGTCGGACACCGATGGCTTCCGCTGGCGACCAGTCGCCCGGGCACCCATGTCCCTCCCTGATGGCCCATTTCGGACATCAATGCCCTACTTTTCTACCGATGCCACACAGCCCTTCTTGACTTTACCTTTCAGCATGCTCTCTGAAAAGGCATCTCTGAATGTCTCGCTCCTGAAAGCCCCCACTTGCCAGTGAGGCAATTCTGAACCAATGAGACCAAACACTGACCTTTCGGCCCAGAGTCCCTAACAGGCCTCATCTGCTTTAGCTTTTCCAATCTTGGCTTCCCACAAACTGTCTCCGTAGGTGTGACGGCTAAGGAATCGCTTGAACCCCCTTTGGACTGTGGCTCGCCTGGGCTGTATTTATGCACATTCTAATTCGCAACTGACCAGTCATACAAGGGAGCCTTACAGCCCCGAGCTGCTGCAACCTTGTTCCTCTTGCATTAAAAGAAACCATCAAGAAAGAGTAACTATGAGAACCCTACAGTTGGTGACAGGTTAAGAACTCAGGGGAAACTCCTCCCACCCCTTTCCACTTTAGCAGAGCGAACACTGGAGAAGGAATCGCCTCCTCTCTAGCGTTCACTCTGCTAAACTCTGCTGAACTCTCAAGGGACACTGACACACCCCAAAAATGTTTTTTCATTTTTTGCCAGGCGATTTGTTATGGTGTCGGAAGACTACCCAATTCATATTTTGCAACAGAGTCACATATATTTTTAATAAATGCAAAAAACGCAACTGCTCGAAACCGAAATCTCCGCAAGGAGGTCGGAGAAATATAGGGGATGAGAGAGAGCCGGAAGTCACAAAACTACACCCAACCAAACGACTTTTTTTTTTTTTTTTTTTTTTTTTGCGTGCAGCAGTCAACACGTTTTGCGGGAATTGCTTTCCATGCGCTTCCTTTGCAATTATGTTTGTTCCGCTCACTTTTTTGTACTTCAAGATGAGTTGTTTTGTACGTAGAAGAGTTGGAAATGAGTAGCGAGTGCCCGTGGTGAATTCCCGTGATAGGCTCTGAAAAGAATGCCCTCAAGATGTTGCATGAAGAGCTGCTTCACATGTCCTGCCTCTGAAAGTGGAATTGTGCGGAAGAGTATGCACAAGTTTCTGGAAGGTCAACGGGATCGGGACCAATGGCTGGCTGTGATTCCTGTAGAACAGTTACAGGCACCCCGGAAAGCGGACGTTACCCCATTCATATGCTCCTTGCATTTTGTGAAAAGTGACTACATTGAGTTCACAGATGTCAAAAAGGGAATCCCATACCATTTAGTTCAGCGACATATCACCCACAACTTTTGTTTTTTTCAGTGATAATTGCAACAAAAATATGTAAATATCGCAAAAAGTTCAACAACAAAAAAAAAAAAGAAGTTATGCCGACACTAGGGATTGAACCTGCGCCCGCTGCGTGTGAAGCGGACATCTTTCCACTGAGCTGCTGGGGAAACTCTTTGTGGTAATGCAGCCGGTCTACTGTATGTCAAAAGGTTTGCTGCCAATTTCCCTCCAGCAAGGGGATTCCCGGCTTCAAGTCGGGCAGTACCACGCATTGGCCACATTCGCACTTAGTAAAGAAATTGTTCGCCTGCATATTCAACTCAAAGTACACACTTCGCGCTTGACGATTGCACAAGCGATGTCTTCAGCCACGAGAAGGGGGCAACGGCTCAGCAACGTCTTAGTGAGAATCGGCTTGGTGGCATGCCGTACGGGATGAATGCCAATTCTTTTGATCGGTCCAAAATTTCTCTTTCGAAAGAAGACAGATTCGCCGGTACCGCAAACGACAGTTCTGAAGTAGAGCTCCCACGTCCGTCGTCCACTGCCATCGCCGTCCAGCCCGCGAGACCCACGATATGCGATAAAACGCCATGTTGAGGATTACGCAGTGAATGCACAAAATGCTTCCGGTTCTCTGTGCAACTTTTTTTTCAATCAACGTATTTGGAGCTTTTTGGAAGCTACAAAAAATGGGTTTAATATTTTTTCTATTTTTAATATTGAGTGCGTGCTTTCAATGACCCATGACTTTATTTAAGTTTGGTGGTTGTGTCTAAACCTCAGAAAACGGCCCGTGACCACGGAGAAGAGAGTGAGCGAGATTCAAATCGGCCAGTTCTCGACTGGCGGTTTTCGGGCAGAAAAAAAAACGAATTTCGAGCCGCAAATTGTTGTCTGGGTAGTTGGGCTCTCATATGTCACGTACACCGAAAAACCTCGGCGAGCATAAATACCCTGCGAGTGTCCCTTTAATCTCTCACCGACTATAGGATACCTTCTACACTACACTTTTTATTTATTTATTTATTTATTTATTTCAATACCCTCAGGGCCAACGGCATTACAGAGGGGAGTGGGTTGTATTCAACAAGAAATATTATACAATGAATAGCTTAAAGGCAAAGCACAAATTAGTTATGAACAATACAAGTTAGAAATAGCAGTTTTAAACAAATCATCCGCCTGGATTATGGCGATGGAGGTGGGAAGGCGGTTCCAATCCAAAGACGTTTTGGGAATGAAAGATTGTTGAAATGTGTTTGTGCTACATAGTGGTACACCTACTTTATGAGGATGATCAAGACGGGATGAAACATAGAAAGGTGGTGTGAGGAGACGTTGACGGAGGAATGAGTTAGTGTGAAATACTTTATGGAAGAGAGACAAACGGGCTACCTTTCGGCGTGAGGCAAGACTAGGCAAGGATAAGTTAGACTTCATAGAGGTGACACTTGCAGTGCGTTGATAATTACTGAGGATAAAACGAGCGGAACGATTTTGAACAGCTTCTAGGGGGTTAACCAAATTTAAAAGGCTCGGGTCCCAGATAGACGACGCGTATTCAAGCTTTGAGCGCACAAGTGTTTTATAAAGAGTTAATTTCAGAGAGGAGGGAGCTAAGGAAAAATTACGTCTTAAATAGCCAAGCATGCGATTAGCATTACTAATAACGTAACCAATATGTATTTTCCAGGAAAGATCAGATGTTATGTGTACACCCAGGTACTTGTAAGACGATACAGAAAGTAAAGGAACATTGTTAAGACAGTAGCAGGGAGAAACAGAATGATTACGAGACACTCTCATTACTTTGCACTTAGTTGTGTTAAGCGCCATATGCCAAGTTTCACACCAATGAAGAATAACGTCAATGTCTGTCTGGAGTTTGATAACATCTGAATCATCAATAATTTCACGGTGAATGACACAATCATCCGCAAAAAGGTTGATTGAGGAAGAAATGTTATTCGGCAGGTCATTAATGAAGATTAAAAACAGAAGTGGGCCTAGTACAGAACCCTGAGGCACGCCGGAGGTCACTGACGCGAGAGGAGATGTATGGTTATTTGCCGTAACAAACTGGAATCGGTTAGTAAGAAAGCACTGGACCCAAGCCATAACGTTAGCATCAATGCGAAGGTTATTTAGTTTCAACAAAAGCAACTCGTGTGAGACTTTATCGAACGCCTTCGAGAAATCCAAAAATACGCAGTCGATCTGGGACCCTCTATCAAGAACAGAATGCAAGTCGTTAGTAAATAATAAAAGTTGGGTCTCGCAGGAAAATGATTTTCGGAATCCATGTTGAGAGGCGTTGAAAAACATGTTAGACTCCAAAAAATTAACAAGCTGAGAATAAATGACATGTTCAAGTATCTTACATGGTATGCTAGTGAGAGAAATTGGTCTATAGTTGTTAGGGGAATGTTTATCACCTCCTTTGTGCAATGGAACCACCTTCCCAACTTTCCAATCGTCTGGGAGGACTCCGAGATCTAGCGATTGGGTGAATATTTTTGACAGTATGATGGAAGAATATACACTTGTGTTTTTTAAAAATTTGGAGTTAATATTATCGACACCAGCACTGGATGATAGTTTAAGATTATCGATTATTCGAACAATGCCAATGGGATCAATTTCGAAATGTTCCATAGGCATGAAGCTGCACTGAGGTAATGAAAAAGGTAACATGTTACATGCACTGGAAAAAGATTTAACAAAAGCCGCGTTTAAAATTTCAGCACAGTCTTCACTAGGTATAACAGAATCATCCACCCTGATTGAGATTTCGTTCGAATTGTTATCACCAATAATGTTCCAGAACTGCTTAGGATTAGTAGACAACATATTCGGCAAAGTCTGATTAAAATACACAAGCTTCGCATCGTGAATAGCAGATTTGTAAGCCTCATACGCGTTCTGATAAGTCTCCCAACGTTTTGAACAGCCTGTTTCATTTGCAGAGCGAAACAATCTTTTCTTTTTATTAGAAAGCCTTTTTAGTGTCACATTAAACCAGGGTGAATGAGTGTATGATCTTATCGAACGGAGAGGAATGAATTTATCCGTGAGCAGCGCCACTTGATTCTTAAACAGGGTCCAGTTTTCCTGAATGGTGCGTTCAGAAAAGTTAATTATAAATACATCTAGAAAAAGGGCTAAGTGGTCATTAATAGCTTCAAAGTTCGCTTTGCTATAGTCGCGAATGCATTTAGTCACTTTAGAGGAGTTGTGCTTAGGAACCGTCAGAGATATGTATAATGAACTATGATCACTGACACCTGGTAAATGAGACACTAAAGAAACAAGATCCGGCGTATTAGTTAAAACAAGATCAAGGATATTGGCTGACGTAGCTGCGACTCGTGTGGGTTCAGTGACGAGTTGTAAAAGATTGAAATCAGCACACAAGCTTAAGAAATTGGAACACTCAGAGGAATGACAACTGAGAGAAGGGCACGTATCTGACCAATCAATATTCGGATAATTAAAATCGCCTAATAAAAATATCGGAGAATCTGGGAATCTTGCAGTAACCATATTTAGCGCATCATGTAAGTCATTGACAAAGCCAGTGGAACAGTTAGGTGGTCTATAACAAGCA